CACACTGCTTCGCTGTCTGCCATTGCTGTGAATTCGACGCCTGCGACTGCGAAATGACCTGTCCGACGAACTGCACTTGTTTCCACGATCAGACCTGGTCGACGAATATTGTGGAGTGCTCCGGCGCTGGCTACTCACAAATGCCACGCAAAGTGCCCATGGACACCACGGAGTTGTACATTGATGGCAATAACTTCGTTGAGCTTGCAGGTCACACCTTTCTGGGGCGCAAAAATCTCGCCGTACTTTTCGTGAATAACTCGAACGTGCAGTTTCTGCATAACACGACATTCAGTGGGCTGCGGAGACTGCTGGTGCTGCATCTGGAAGATAACCACATAGCCGAAGTGCATGGCGATGAGTTCAGCAACCTTGAAAACCTTCGAGAGCTCTATCTGCAGAATAACCGCATATCGAGTGTAGGCAACGGCAGCTTCGAAGCGCTTCGTAAGCTTGAGGTGCTGCGTTTAGACGGCAACCGCCTCGTTCACTTCGAAGTGTGGCAGCTGGCACTCAACCCCTATCTAGTGGAAATCGGGCTAGCAGACAACCAATGGAGCTGCGAATGCAGTTACTTGATGCGCTTCCGCACGTACCTCGCACAGACAGCCGAGAAGATTGTGGATGCAGCACGCGTGTCCTGTGTGTACAATAATGCCACCAGTGTATTGCGCGAAAAAAAACGGCACCAAGTGTACGCTGCGCGGCGATGAAATCACCACTTATGCACATGCAAGTGAAATCCAACATCTACTTCCACTGCTGTTAGTCGCCACATGTGCTTTCGTCGGCTTCTTCGTGCTCATTTTGGGCGTCTTCTGCTATCGGCATGAGCTCAAATTGTGGGCGCATTCCAATTGCCTGCTCAATATGTGCTATGCGGGGCGGAATGCGCACGGCTTCGTTGAAACGTTGGACAAGGACCGGCTCTGCGATGCGTATTTCGCCTACAGCCTGCAAGATGAGCACTTCGTTAACCAAATATTGGCGCAAACCCTCGAACATGACATTGGCTATCGGTTGTGTCTTCACTATCGTGACGTGAATATCAATGCGTATGTGACGGATGCCATCATAGAAGCGGCCGAGAGCGCCAAGCAATTTGTGTTGGTACTATCAAAGAATTTCCTCTACAACGAATGGACGCGCTTCGAATATAAATCAGCTCTGCACGAGATGGTAAAGCGCCGCAAGCGTTTGGTCTTCATATTGTACGGTGACTTGCCGCAACGCGACATCGACATGGATATGCGTCATTACTTGCGCACAAGCACCTGTCTCGAGTGGGATGACAAGAAATTCTGGCAAAAGCTCCGCATAGCACTGCCGCATATACGCAAACGACCAATGACCGCCAATTGTCTGGCGGGTCGTTCAGCCGTGAACATTTACGCCTCAGCGCACGAATACCAGCCTGCAGGCGCCAACGCCGTAGGTGGTGGCGGTCTACCTAATGGACATCTCAGCGGTGGCGCCAGCGTTGACAAGGCACACTACAATGACTGCAACAACTATGCGACCATCAACGATTGCGGTGTCGGCGCGCGAGGCTACGCGCCCATACCCACTGCTGCCGGGGCGTGTAAATTCAATACGCTCAACGAGCTATCTCACAAGCTGCACAAGAACGATTTGCTGAACAATATCGGTGGTGGTGCGGGTTGCATAGGGCTTGGCGGCGGCGCTAAAACGCTCGACCATCACCATCACTTGCGGCCGCATCAGCAGCACGAGTACGCGGTGCCCGCTTATTTGGGCGCTTTATCTAACGGGCATGTGGGTGGCGGAAATGTACCAACTTACGACAGCGTGGACTACGCAAAACAACAGAAGCTGAGCGCCAGCAACAACTGCGACAGCTGTAATGGCGGCACACAAAAGCGTGTCACAAAAGGTGGCCTACATCCGAGCTTCTCATCCAATTTCACCGCGCCACCCAACGACAGCATCGGAGGCGCCTGCTTCAACAGTTACAACTGCAAGAAGCCCTGCAATTGTGGCGCGCGCAAGCATCCAGCTGCAGCCAGTGACGATGGCATCAGCTGTCGTTGCGGTAATGCAGGCAGCGGCGCAAAGGAGACACTCGCTGCGGCGACTGCGACGACGGCGACGCCCGCGACGACGAACGCGAACGCGAATAATTCGAACAGCAGTAATAGCAGCAATAACAGTCACAGCAGCAGCGCGACCAACAGCAGCAACAATAGCACCAGCTCAGCGGGTAGCGGCAATCGCCAGCCAACCGAACAACTGGCACACTACGAATCGAGTTTGTCGTTGAACGAGAGCGCGGCATTAAATGGGCCATTGTGGGCGTAACAGCAACTGGATTTGGGTGGCAGCAGCATTGCAGGCGGTAAGACTCGCATGGCGGTCTGCTTGAATGTGTAAGCGATGCAAATGAAGGCAGCAAGAGCGCAATGAAAATTGTATGTACTTTTAAGTGTGGGTGTGTATGTGTGTGTGTGTGTGTGTGTGTGTGTGTGTGTGTGTGTGTGTGAGTGTGTGTGAACAAGTGTTGTACGCGTTCAAGCGGCAGAGACAGACTGTATAACCAGTGAATTTAATTACGTGCATACGTTTGTAAGTGTGCAAATAGGCAGCTCTTGAAGGCAGTTAAATGGAATTTGTAAGGACACTTGCTGTAGCACTTTTAAGCAGGACATGTACTGACGATACTCGTATGTACTCACTAAGAGAGATGTACTTTGTATTTGTAAAGATTTAAAAGCAAAACTAATGAACTTAAACGACACAACAAACTACGTAAAATTGCTAACTAGCTATAATTAAATTATTATTAAATTATTATTAAAATCTAAGCACTTAGCAAAGCGAGGCATGCAAAAACTAAAATTTTCAATAGCATTAGAGAAATTAGTACGTAAGTGTGCTTGTGTGTGTGTGTGTGGTTAAAATAAATTTAGTGGCATTTGATTTCTTTTTTGACTTCAAAATAGTAAAACGAGATAAATTTAAATTTGAACAAAAACTAAAAAAAAAAAATAAAAATTGTTAAATAGACTGATAAAATTAGTTACATACGTTTAAGTTTCTTATAAATAGTAATGTTTAAAAAGAAGAACAAAGACAATTAAAACAAATTTAAAATAAGTGAAAAATGCAAAATAAAAATGAAAGTCTATTATTGGCGCTTAAATCAAGAATCCTATTGTTTTTATTTGAAATTGGCAAAATTTGTTGGAAGGTGACTTTTCAAAGTTTAGACAACTAAAAATATTGGCAAACATAGCAATACTAGATTTCAATTGGCACAAGTAAGTTTGGTAGCGGAAAATTGAAGTGAAAAATCCTTTTACATATTTATATATGTATGTATCGAAATCACACTGCTCAGGTTCGCTTGGTATCTATGTAGTTTGTGCGGATTTTTTTTAACCATTGATACAAAGTCTTGTTTCAGTTGCTACTTAATAAAACTTAATTCAAACGAAATTTTTTTTTCCATATCAGCTGCACTTGATTGGAGTAGGTTGAATAAGAAAATTTATAAGAAACGAAAGTTTACGCCGTGTGCTTAGCTCAGCGGTTAGCATTTCTGATTGTGCACATCGATGATACCTGCTGAAGGAAGTGAAGAAAAATTACAAAGTGCTTTTTATATTCACTTGTTCAGATAAGAAGGCATGCGTTTTTTATTTAGAAAAAATAAATAAATTAAATTTAAAAAATTTGGCCCTTACACATTTGCCAGTGTTTGCCAGAGCTTCTCCTTCAATTTGTGGTGTGCGCCTTAATATTGTCAAACAAAGCGGAGAGACCTAATGAGAAGCTTTTTTCATAACAGAACAAAACTCGTAGATTTGCAAACCACATTAGGGGTATTCTCTGAGTCACGGTGCACGGATTGCACAGTTTGCAAAGGTGTCCCACACGAAAACCGGTTTTTACCGTGCAATCCGTGCAATCTGTGCACCATGCAAGGGCTTTGCAAGACTCAGAGAATACCCCTATTGAAGTTTTTTAAGAAGGTTCCCCATTTCAATAATGTGTGGCAACGCTAAGAAAAATGATAGACGTTTTTTTTTTTTTGTTTTTTGGTAGCGTAGTAGCTAATACCCACTCAAATCGCTAATTTGTTTTTGAATAGGAAACCAGGCCTGTGTAATGAGTGCTTACCTTTGAATTTTTAAAGATTTCCGTGTAAAAAATAATAATTGATTTAAAATATCTACACCCGAACAGCTTTAATCAAAAAGACTTATGTAATAACGAAGTTACAACCGTTATACGCGGCAGCACTACAACATTTTTCTCGGAAAATTTACGAAAATCAATTTTTTTATTTTTTTTTTTTAATATTTTTTTTTTATTCCTTACAATATGTTTTAATCCTTCTGCAGTGTTTGAAATTTACCCGTTCCTATAATGTTTTGGGTCATTTTGACCCAATAATAAAAAATTGGTAAATTTTAAGAAAAAAACGATATTTTAATTTTAATTCAGTTAATATTTCGTTTATCATTTGCAAATACTTTGTCGGCAAGTGCTCTGTGCTTAACGGCGCAAAGTTTCTCTTAAATACTGAATAATAATTTGGGTCAAAATGACCCAGAAACACTGTGGGTGTATGGAAAAACTATGTCGCCTTCTAAAAGACAAAATACATTAAAAAACTCTTTTATTTTTTACCAAAGCTTAGCTGATTATGCTCTTAACGAATATACAACGCCGCAGCTTATCACAAATTTAACCTTCATTGGAAGCAGCTAGTTAAAATATTAGTTCAATTTGTTTAAATTGCTTTCTCGAAAAATGGATTTTCTTTTATTTATTAACCGACTTCAAAAAAAATGAGAAGGTTATCAATTTGGCCGAATATTTTTTGTTTTTTTTTTGTATGTATGTTACCGCATCGGCCGCTGTGGTGTAGTGGTAAGCAGTGCGCGCTTCCACTCCGCAACGCCTGGGTTCAAGCCCTGGTCAAAGCAACATCGCAAAACAATATAGAAAAAAGGTTTTTTCTTAACAGCGGTCGTCCCTCGGCAGGCAATGGCAAACCTCCGAGTGTATTTCTGCCATGAAAAACAGCTTCTCATAAAAATACAATCGCCGTTCGGAGTCGGCGTAAAACTGTAGGTCCCTCCGCTTTGTGTGACAACATCAAGGCGCACGCCACAAATCGGAGGAGAAGCTCGGCCAAACACTAACATATGTGTAAGCGCCAATCTATTATTATTATTATTATTATGTTACCGCATAACTTTGGACCACATACACCGAAATTCCTTTTGCATATAATTCTTTTTGCATTGTGCCTCAGAGGTGGTCCCATACTAATCTGGTTAAGATTCGATCATTGGATCATGAAAAAATTAACGGTACTCCTAAATTAGTATATGCGATTTGAAATCGATTTTGTTTCTTGCTTAAAAATTGCTTGTTTTGTTTTACTTTTTCAGATCAGAGTCATGAAGCGGAAAAGCCAAAAATAAAGTTGATAATCAATAATTTAATAGTAAAGTTCTTTTTTTATAAATATGAATCAAATCGAACTATGAATGCTGGTTTTTCCAATACCTCCAACTAGCTCTCTAGCTCATCGGGGAGTTGATTAAAAATTGATTGCAAAATTTTACCCAAATTAACATACTAAATTAAGTTAGTACAATACCACCTTTGATGTATCTACCAACTTTGCGATACAAAAAAAAAAAATATGGTCCAAAGTTATATGCTAACATACATAAAAATGAACTGATGAATGAATTGATAACAGAAGACAACAAAAATGGAAAAAAATGTTAGTGCCGCAAATGTTAAAGCTGTTTTTGGTAGACTTTTTTGTGCTGATTACGAATACGTAAGTACAAAATTTCCATCAGCTTCAGATATTAAGAAAAACGAGTTCAAAGTGTCAAAAAGTCGAGTTTATTGCAATAATTTAGAAGCTCTAGCAAAGAAACAAAAAGTTGATAGGACTTTCCACTTAGGCTTAAATTAAGGCTCGAACTCTCGACTACTACTCCGGAAAATATCATTTCTGCACCTTGGCCGCATAGTCATTTATTGAACAGCAAAACTGATTTTGGAAAAATTATTCTTTTTTCAGTAGCACAATTTTCCAGCATTTTTTATTGTTCAATAAATGACTATAAAGGACATCAGGTCAAGGTGCAGAGATGATATTTTAAGGGGACTATTCGAGAGTCTATCTGTGTAACCTTTCTCCTTTTTTTGAAGTCGGTAAAAAATAAAAACCTCTTAATGTTATGAGATGTCTTTCGAAACTCATCTAAAATAATTTCTTCTTGATTTATTCTGAATTTCGTTTGCCAAGTAATTCGTATTATCACATATAACAGTTTCGGTTTTAAGACCTCCGTATACGAATTTTAAGGTTGTAAGCTGCCATTCAATAGGCCTCGGATTCGATGTCAGGTCAGTGCATTTTTTTTTTTAGGTTGATAAGAGCTACTTGCATGTTTTCTATCAGCTTGCATACATTTCGGTGTAGTGGTGTAGTTACAAATTCCCATAACCTATTTTAGCCGTATTTTACGTAGACAAATTTTAAGACTTTAAGGACCAGTTTTTCAGTACAGAGCTGTGGTTTAATCATTTCTTAAAGTGCAGACTTTTATATACAGAAAGTAATAAAAATTTATTAGGAATGCGTAAACTCAAACGCCATTCACTTACTGTAATTAAGTTTTTCTACATTGAATTGTAAAATGCTTAAAATTTAAAAATAATCAAAAAAGGGCCGAAGAGGTAAGAATAAATAAATCCATCATAAGTCAGCTGAAGCGCTCATTATTAATAATAAAATATTTTTCTAGCCGCTTAATTTAGTCAGAAAAGAAATTTTAACAGTAAATACACAGCAGCAATATGTAAATTAAACAAACATCATCTTTTGTAAATATGTAAGTACATAAGTATGTATGTATGTATAACTAATGAGTA